GAACTACCGTTACTCCTCGTGGAATGAGGAGTAACGGTAGTTCGAACTAGGAAGCCTAGTTCGAACTACCTAGTTCGTGCCGCGTGTAGCCGCGCGGCACGGGGTTCGAACCAGCAGGGATTTAAAAATGGCGGCGCCCAGTTTATGCAAATGAAGCCCGGGAAATTCAAATCCCGGGCTTCATTTGCAATTGCGGTATGCCTACATTACCTTCCTACTTCGAAATAGGAGGGTAGTGTAGACATACTCTTGGTGTGTCTGTGAGGGGGACATGCATTCCTCAACCAGCTGTGTCCACTGCACTTCCAGTGGCCGTGGAGAGGTACTTCTCACCTGGCCCCAAGCTGCTGCAATGAGAGAGGGCTCAGGCTCTCCTGTCCCCCAGGGCAGCCAGCATACAGAACCCCTCATCCCCAGTCCCCACCCCAGAGCAATGAAAAAAACAAAGCTTATTTGAGTTCAGGACCTGAGCGATGCCAGGTAAATCTTTTAGTTATTCCATAAACAAAAGAGATACAGAACTACATGCACAAATTCACTGTAAACCATTTCTGAGACTGTTCTTACCCGCTCCTGACAATGGTATAGGTTATTCTTGTAAAATCATTGGGATCAGGTGATGCAACACACGTGTCCAAAAACAACACCAGATTTGGGTCAGAACTGTGAATTGAAGCTTGAAGGAATAAATTCTGATTCAAGTCAACGTAGTACGGAGACGCATACACTGGTCGTAAGAAAGACGATGATTCGTAAAATGAAATGTTCATATCGTATCTGCTGTACTGCAATTCATTCACTTCAGTAATATCATCTGCAACATACATTTTTTCTATCCATTTATTCTGGAGCATTTTGCAGGTGATGTGCAAGTAAAGATCTTTTTGCCTTTTGATTATGTAGCCAGAAGAGATTGCTTTGATCAAGTTGGAATAGATGATAGTGTCGTTGTTTCCCTGTTTTGCACATTAAATACAGAATTAGCTAATGTGGCCACATTTTTGCCTAGGTCACAATGACCATAATGGTTACCAAGCACCTATAGAATAACATGGATTTTCAGGCCCACTGATGGGGATGACAAATGAGCAATTCAAAGGGGCCTGGGGCTTCCGGCTGCTGCCACAGTTACTGCTATATGCTCTGTGTGGCTCTGAGGGTTAGGGAGTCAGGGGCGCCATACTCTGGGTGGTGCAGAGTGCTGACTTCCCTGGCCCCTCCCCCTTTCACTGGGATCCACCCTTTCCAGGAGTGCAGAGTTGGACACCTCCCCCACTATCTTGAGGGGGGGGGCACATAGGCTGTTGGCTCCCTTGTGCATTTTAAAAGCATTGTTTCCATTGGCAGTATTTTAAAACATGTGACTTTGATCATTTCTATTCACCACACATTTTAAAAGACTTTGCTGGCTGTATGTGCTAGTGCAGTTTTTCTCCAAGTGGTTCATGAACCCCACTCTGAGAAAGCTGCTAATGGTTCACTCTGGTTTGTTTACCTACCAGCTCCACAGCCACAGAGCCTCATGGCTCCCATGGGCTCTGGTTCACCGTTTACAGCCAAGGGGAACCATGGGAAGCAGCAGCCTAGGCTACTCTGCTTCCCACGGCTCCCCTTGGCTGGAAATAATTTACTGGAGCCAATGGGAGACATGAGGCTCTGTGGCTGTGGAGCTGGTAGGTAAACAAACCAGAGTGAACCATTAGCAGCTTTCTCAGAGTGGGTCCGTGGACCACTTGAGAAACACTGCTCTAGCGATTACGCTGAGATATGAAAAATATTTTTTTTAAACTAACCACAGCCAAGTTAGTTAACATTTGTGCAAAATTTTGAACATGTAATGCACAAAGGTCCTGATTCAGCAAGATACTTAAATACAACTCTAATGTAAAGCACTACAGAAGTGAATGCTTTAAATTGGTACGTTGTTGAACTGTGGCCTATGCAAGTGCCATGTATTATTCTATTTATAAGCACCATCTCATGCTCAAAAAATGTCTGGGAGCATAGGCTAAGGTTGTTCACATATCTTTACTTTCCCCCAATATTTCCCATAAGGTCAATCTACAATAAGTGAGGTGTTCTCAGCAGGCCAGGTAAGAATAGGTGGGAGTGGTCAGTGCATCCGAACCTTCAGCTGTTGGTTCACTTGTAGCTCCTGTGAACCACAGGAAAGGTTTCTGTTCATGACCCCTTTCCAAATGAATTGTGCAGTTTGCACAGACCTATTTACACAGGTTGCTAAATATTCAATTTCATACCTCTCGGCTTGTGCCACATCTATTGTACGGTATGTTGAATATAACATGGCTTGGTGTAATTGTTGGTGTACAAGAAGTATCATTCAAGCTGACATCCCATGCACTGTAGCCATGTGAGCGGAGATAGGCTCGGCTGACAACTGCATGCATGTATTCTGGCAAACACAGAAGAGCTGGTGGGTGGATAAAACATATTTACATGCCCCTTCCGGAAAAGGGGCCAGTGTAGACGTAGCCATGCTGTTATCTATTCTGTTATTCTGTGTTTATGTTGGGAGAGAGCAGGGGCTCATAAGCCAAACAACATTATTTTACTACCTTATGTCTTAAAAATTGAATTATGCATCAGGGGCCTGTGGGTTTTGGTTGTGGATTATTATTACTATGAAAATCCGCAAATCATAACTTCTCTTCCTGTGATCAGAAAGAGTCTCATCAATGATGACAGTTATTGAAGCACAACATTTTTTGGAATCAGGTAAAAGTCCCATTGATGTTGCTTAGAATTTTGCTTGAATAGAATTTAGAACAGTATTAGCAAAGTGATTATAGAGCACATAAAATAAAGTGTTTCAGTAATTATGGGAGAGAATAATTTAAAACACAGGCGGTAGTGAAGACAAAAGGAACTTGATGTGGTTGTCAACAGCAATTTATGGATGAGATTTTGCTATCTTAAATTATACTGATCAGGTAATGCAACTAACAAGTTATGCGCTCTTCAATACGATCAAGGGTTACAGAATCAAGTATTTGTATATATGATCTCATATATGACATGAGAAGTCATTCTTCCGCTCTATTCTGCATTGATTAAGTCTCAATTTTCAAGAAAGATGTGGAGAAACTGGAAAAGGTCCAGAGAAGAGCAACAAGAATGATTGAAGGTTTAGAGAACATGACCTATGAAGGAAGACTGGAAGAATTGGGCTTGTTTAGTTTGGAAAGGAGAAGACTGAGAGGGGACATAATAGCAGTTTTCAGGTGTCTAAAAGGGTGTCACAAGGAGGAGGGAGACAAATTATTCTCCTTGGCATCTGAAGATAGGACAAGAAGCAATGGGCTTAAACTGCAGCAAGGGAAGTTTAGGATGGACATTAGGAAAAACTTCCTAATTGTCAGGGTGGTTAAACACTGGAATAAATTGCCTAAGGAAGTTGTGGAATCTCTGTCTCTGAAGATATTTAAGATATTTAGACATCTATCAGGGGTGATCTAGATGATACTTGGTCCTGCCATGAAGGCAGGGGACTGAACTTGATGACCTCTTGAGATCCCTTCCAGTCCTAGTGTTCTATGATTCCATATGAACCATATGGGGTTTGGAGCTGCATGTGCAGAGGCCGAATGAGCGTCCAAATTCAGGATATTAAGAAGTGGGTACTTGGGTAATCATGTAGTTGATACAATTTGTATTGACTACACAATTAGTTGATAAGGGAAGGTGCTCAGTCCTGGTCCAGGAGCTACCCCTGCTGCGGCTCTGCAGTTTAAATGCAGAAAGAGCCCCCCAGCTATTACTACATTTAGAATGCAAAGCCGCAGTGAGGGTAACTCCAAGACATGGCACAAGCAGCAGCTCCTGTCCATGGGAGAGGTCACAGCTCCCCACTTGGACCCTCCGCAGAAAGGGGCTATTCTGCAAAATGCGGAGACGCCTCTGCTCACAGTGAGCTTGCTTCCTCTAGGCAGCAGGATGGTGGCAGGGGGGCAGGCAGCACCACAGAGATAGTACTGTGGGTGAACTGGCTTTTAAACTGGCTCCCTCCCAACACCTGCCCCTGCTCCCTCGCACCTCGCACCTTTCTGCCTCTGACACAGAAGCAGCAAGGGAAGAGCAAATGGGAGTAGTCGGGTACCGGATAAGCCTAGGCTTCTTGGATAGTCAACAACTCGACTAGTCGCTTACATTCCTAATCCCAATGAGCATCCAAGTGAGAGTCATTCATTGGGAAACAGATCCTATGGGCTTTAGTTGGGGGGAAAGCACATTAAAAAGAATTTGAGTCTTGCCTGAATGAAGACGTAAGGATCAGGCTTTGTATGCCTATGAAAGAGGTTCAAGTTCACCTCTACAGCTGAAGAGGCAGACAAATTATAAACAACTCAGGAAAGAGCCTCAAAAACTGGGAAAGGAAGTGGAGGGACTTATTCTAAGTATAAATAATTCTAATATAAAGCATGTTCCAATAAAATGCTCAACAGGCACTGAGCTCAGATAAACAATAACTAATGAGTTGGGGGGAGGGAGAGGACATGAAATTGACGATGTTATTTAAAGAGGAGTGCTCGCAATGAAAATTTTGCCGGAATCAGGAGTAGGATCACACCCAGAGTGAAAGAGCAGTTAGGTTGTACAAGAGGTGGTAAATAAGAGTAATGAGCTGATATGAAGAAAAAGTAACTTTAGGATGAATATCAGAGAAAACATCATAAAATAATTAATTTTATAATAACAAACATTAATTTTGCTTAAATATAAAACTGAAAGTAATAGGTCTATAATCACACAGTATGAAAGATAACAATGAGTGTGCTCTACTGAAGTGCTTCGACAACATTAATAAATGGTTATTTAGCAACATAAAATCAATAAATAGGCTTGTCTGCTGAAAAGCAAAGTTCTGTATTGAACATGAACTTACTAGTATTCTGATCTGCTAGAATGGTGTAATACTCAGCCTGAAACCCTGTGTTTGTGACACTCGAGTCACTGTGAAATCGAACTGTCATCAAGTTTGAGGATGATGTATATGAGAGGTAGGAGCCATAACAAATTTTTGCTATTAAGGGGGATGTATTGAGTGGCCCATCATATATCTCAATATAATCATACCGGCAGTTACCATCTTCTGTCCTGGGGAATAAACATGAACATTTTGTTATCTATTTTGTTAACTCTGATTTAACTAGTCATTACTAAATCACATTCTTTGCGGCAAAGAATGCCTGTCCCGGATTGGCCTTTTCAGCCACCAACGACGCTGTCCCCGACGCTGTCCCAGACAATTCGACACGAACCAAGACGAGAACTAGGATACGTCATCCATGGTCAACTGACCGACGGAGGCCAACAACAACTAAATCACAATTTACAACCTTCATTCTGCAAGGTGTTTGTGACAGAGATTGTTTTCAGTTTGCATGTTATAAGACTAACAAATAACCACAAATAATACTATATTCATACACTCTTCATTTTAGATTTACTGGTAAATTTACAACTATTAAAACCTGATGAGGAATGTCCTTGAAATGGAGAAAGCATCATTTTCAAAATTCCATGATTTTGAACCCATGAATTGCCTGGGAAATTAGTGCTTTACTTACGCTATATCTCTAAACAAGAGAGTTATACAGAAATTGTTCATGGCTTCTATTTCCCACACACAATCTGCATTGTTTGGATAATTTCCAGGATAGAATGGGCTGCTCAATGTCCCAGATGAATGTTGAAGGACACCACCACAAGTATATCTCTCTGCTGAATAAAATTTAAGAAAAACATATTTATGAGTTATTTATATGTACAGGTTGCACCTCCCTTAACCGGGACACATCCATGGTCTGGCAGGACCACAGATGTTCCTGGACTGCAGATCCCAGGTACAGGGAGTCTGGCTGTGGGGCAGGAGAGTGGTGGGGTGGGGAAGGGACCGTGACACAACCAGGAGCCCCATTTTGGTAGAGAGGGGGTGTGCCTCTGAGAGATCGTGTCTCAATGGCCGGGCAGTAGCAGGGGGCTAGCAGCAGCAGCTGTGGACTTCCTGCCCAGCCACGCGTACCAGCCACGAAGCTCTGGCTCCAGTTGCACAGCTCTGGTCCCAGCAACAGTGGGGCCAGACAGCAGCAGGGCTGGGCTGGAGCCCTAGCAGTGGGGCAGTGTTAAGCTCAGGCCATGAGAGGAGGGACTTCCCCTGGTCTGGCAAATCTCCTCATTCCGGACCGGTTAGGTTCTGAGGGTGCTGGACCAGAGAGATCCAACCTGTACTTATCTGCACACATTCATATATGACTAATCAGTCAGAATCAAAGTCTACTGAAGTTAAAGGGAAAGCCTCCCATAACTTCAATGGTCTGAACCTGGGTATGTCTATACTACAGCGCTATTTCGAATTATCTTAATTCAAAATAGTTAATTCGAATTAAGCTAATTCGAAATAATGCAACTATACACAAAAGCTATTTCAAAATAGTGCATTCACACTTAGGACTTAGTGTGTGGGGCTGCTGCCTGAGGCTAACTGAGCTCCATGCTTAAAGTGACCCTACTCCCACCCCGGACAGACAGTTCTCAGGGTTTCCCGCTTGCTTGTCTACCTCGATGAGGGACACCAAAGCAATCCTGTCTTGGAGTGCCCTGAGTACCCACACTCGGGACACCACAGCACTCGGCCGCATGGAGCCAGAGCTGCCCCTGGGCATGCCAGTGCATCTCATGAAGTCATTGCCATCAGCCCGGCTGCACTTGCTGCAGGCTGCCAGCTAGGGGGCCCATCAGGGGGCTGTCAGGATCCAGGAGGCCTTGTGGGAGAGTGTCCACCCTGAGGAACCCTTAGAGCCTCCCCAGTCCTCCCCACGGGGGCTCATGCACCGTTCCTTCCTCACATCCTTCCACTTACCCCTCCCTAGCTCCCCTTTCCTGATGTCAAATAAAAGACACGTATGTTCAAAAATAGAAACTGGGTTTATTGAACAAAACTGGGGAGGGAGGATGGACCTCTGGGGAGACTGGGAAAAGGAGGTGGGAGAGGGGAAGAGAGAGGGTGGAAAAGGGGTGGGGGAAACCTGGGAGGAGGGAGCTGGAAGGGGGAAGCAAGCGGAAGAAGGGGGAGGGGAAGCTCAGGGCTCAGTGTTGGGGGTCTCATCGGGCCAACCTGACTTCCATGCAAACCTGCTCCTGGGTTCGCATGTGGCCTTTGGTGGCCAGGCTGGCAGCTATCCTCCCATAGACGGCCGTGTTCCTCAGTCTAGTGCTGAGATCATGGAAGTTGGGGGCATCCCCCCAAACCTGAATAAGGTCCATGATCTCCACCCTGGACCAGGAAGGTGCCCACCTTCTCCAGCCCCTGTCAGGCTCCTGGGAGTTGGCAGACTGCGAGGAGGGCTGGCTGCCAGTGGCTTGCTGGCTCGTGTTTTGGGGCTACTGGATCGGGGCCCCAGTGGCCACTGCTGGCTCTGTGCTGGCAGGCTTGGTTCTGGCACAGGCACTATGGCCAGGGTCTCCCCCTTTAATGGCTCTGAGGCTGGGGAGAGGAGAGTAAGTTTTCCTGGTTGTGCCCAGAGCGGCCACCAGGGCTCCCTGGAAAGGGCTGGAGCCCCCCTATTTCGAAGTGTACACAGCACTTAATTCAAAATTGTTATTTTGAATTTGGTGTTATTCCTCATAGAATGAGGTTTACCAAATTCGAAATAAGGGCACCACTATTTTGAATTTATTTCGAAATAGCGGTCTGTATGTGTAGACGCTATTAAAGTTAATAACTGCTGTCTTCGAAATAGCGGTCTGTATGTGTAGACGGTATTAAAGTTAATAACTGCTGTCATTTTGAATTAACTTTGTAGTATAAACATACCCCCTGAGATCTATAGAATCCATTCAAAATCTCATTCAATGCTCAGAACTCTTAAGATTAGGCACTACATGGATTCATATGAAGACAGAAAATAAAGGCCAAAGAAAATGTGCAGGGAAGAAAGAGTTTGCCTTTTTCCCTTTGATAACCTTTTGAAGAAGCACTTGGTGCTCTGGAGGCAAAAATTACAGTCTGAATGAAAGTAGCATCTACAGCCAACTTTGCAATGTAATAATTTTTATTTAATGTAGAGCTTTAACTGACATAAGGCTTATATAAAAAAGGAGAAAAAAATCTAGGAAAGTCATTCTCTTGCTGAGTGACACAGAGAAAAAATATTGGATTTTAATTTTTTTCACCTGCAAAGCACACCAGAACTGACTTTAATTGCATGTATTTGTTGATTGTTAAGTCTGTGTTTTATTTGGTCCGGTGATTGCCCCAATCCTGAATCCATAGTTAATTCTACTGACATAAAGAGTTTAATTGAGGACATTGGGACCAGTCAAATTTGTCAACTTAAGCTCATACATATGTGTTTGTATTATTGGGTCCTAAGTGTTTCCTTTAAAATAAAAATGACTTAAAGTATCTCACTGTACTACTCTATTCTTATTTAGAAGTACTAGCTGCCGAAAGAAATAAAAAGATGCTATTCAAAACATGTATTGCCTTTAGCCTGAAGATAGCTTGCAAAAAGTAGTAAGATGCATCACCAGACAGTGATTATTTTCCTGCCAAGGAAGCTGATACCATTTATAGGAAAATAATGTGTGGATTACAATGAGGTAATTAAGATGACTACAACATACAAATAAAGTAGTAAGATAATTATGAATTACCTGTTGAAGACAGCCATGATGTAGTTGTAGTAGGATCTGTTAATACAAGGAGAACTATACTTAAATGGACAGCATCTTTAACAGAGACATATCTAGTTTCTGAATACTGTGCCAAATTCAAGATAATGCTAATAAAATCATACAACTAAACTGACAGTATAATTCAATGGGCCTCAAACTGTGTGTTGGGACCCCAAAGTTGATCCATGACTGCATTTTAATGGGGTTGCCAGGGCTGACTTAGTCTTGCTGGGACCCAAGGGCCAAAGCTGAAACCTAAGCCTCAGTACTCAGAGCTGAATCCTGAGGTGAAACAAAAATGGATCATATAACAGAAAGATTGGGAACCCTAAAAAATTAGTTCATCTATCCAGATTCACTGAATATATGCGCCATGCTAACCAACGTGCCTGAAACAAATTTACCAGTAATTGACCGACTTACCAGACCTGTGGGCCACAGTTCTAAACCCTTTTTTTCTCTTTCTTCATCATCATTGGTAATAAGTATTTTGCTAAATAAATTATGCGTTTCATAACAGCTGTGCAATACAATTGGTTTCTCTGGTTTTTCACAAATTTACATACAGTATTAAGGAATTTGGTACATAAACTTTTTGATGATGAAGGGCTAACAGGATTAAAATGCAATAAGCACTTATTTGTGTCATTGACCGGTCAGCAAATCTGACTGAATGAACAGGCAGTAGATGTTCTGAGGTAGGAATATCATTGCACAGTCATTCTTCAAAACAAACTACATTCTTTAACCTTTGTAGAAAAAAATGAAAAATCTTAAATCAGCTCCAGCAGAGGTCTCTATTGCATAGAGCACAGAATTATATTCATGTGTTTGTGACCAAATACTCCACTGTGTTCACACCCTACATACCACTATAATAATCTTTATAGTGAAATCTAATAACCTGCTGGTCCATAATTTCACAGTAGAATGTGTGTAGCAATATTATAAGTAAAGTTATACTGCATGCTCATACTGCAGCCCAGGTATAAAAGTCTGGAGAGAGGCTCAGTCTGGGCTGACTGCTGGGGAGGAAGGACCTCCATGGGGAGCTCCTGACCAGCAGCAGCCAGCCAACCAGAGGGCGGACAGCAGCGACCCGAGCGCCAGTTGGGACGTCTCTCCTGCAGCCGATGAGGGAGAAGTGGCTCCCAGGGAAGGAATGGACCCGGCAAGCACGTGGGACGTTATCTCACAGAAGCAGGTAGGAAGTGGCCCAGGGTGGGGACAGAAGCTGCCTCTCCCGTCCCAGAGTCCTTGGTGTGTTTTGGATGGATTCCCCATAGAAGGAGTAGTGAGTTCTCCTGCCACTCACAGGGCCCTGGACCGGGATCAGGTGGAGTATGATGGACTTGGGTCCCCCTACCAGGGGTGTAGTCCCTACCTGTGACATTGTGTATTGACTCTGGCCAGTGGGCCAGTGGATCCAGCTTTAAAGGACCAGTGGGCCTTTCTATATGACCAGTTCTGGTTGTGCAGCCCATCAGGCCCCAGAGTTGGGCCCAGAGTAGAGAGCGCGGGACAAACAATAGACCTGGGAGGGGGAAAGAGAAGCCGCCCCGCGTCACCCTCCCAGTCTGAATTACACCTCAGAATGTGATAAGAGTCAAGGCATCCACAGCCCCTAGTTTGAGAACCACTGAGGTAAAGAATAGCATGGTTTTGTGTACAAATCTGCATCAAGCTGTTATTTCTGCCTCTTCTTCTGAAGTCAATGGAATTCTATGGTCCAGATGTCAATAAGAACAAATTTCAACCTAAACATTTTTAGAAATCAGTCATTAACTTCTCAAAGTTTCATGAATGCTTCTGGTTTTGATCTGGAGACATTTGCCTCCTTTCACAAAGTTGCTTTTTAACCATCAAGTTAAAGGAGCCTAAAACAATCATGTGTGCAGGAGGAACAGCACTTCTGAAAATCTGGCCCTTAAAACAAAAATTGGAACAATCACAAATGTGCCTTACTGTCTGTGGGTAATGATAGGGAACAGAAGTGTGAGAGAATGGGATGCACAAAAGAGAACTATATTTATTCTCCACACCTCATGCTCTGACTATAAGAACATAAGAATGGCCGTACTGGGTCAGACCAGAGGTTTATCAAGCCCAGTAGCCTGTCTGCCGACAGTGGCCAGCGCCAAGTGCCCCGGGGGGGGTGGACAATGATCAAGCAATTTGTCTCCTGTCATCCATCTCCAGCCTCTGACAAACAGAGGCCAGGGACACCATTTCTATCCCCTGGCTAATAGCCTTTTATGGACCTAACCTCCATGAAATTATCAGGCTTCTCTTTAAGGACTATAAGGACTATAGGACTATAAGGGTATGTCTACACTACCCCCCTAGTTCGAACTAGGGGGGGGTAATGTAGTCATACGGAGTTGCATAGTCCGAGCTACCTAGTTCATGCCGCCTGTAGCCGCGCGGCACGCAATCCGAACTAGCCAGCATTTAAAAATGGCGCTGGCTGGCTTTATGCAAATGAAGCCCGGGAAATTCAAATCCCGGGCTTCATTTGCAACTCCGTATGACTACATTACCCCCCCTAGTTCAAACTAGGGGGGTAGTGTAGACATACCCTTATAGTCCTAGCCTTCACAGCCTCCTCTGGCAAGGAGTTCCACAGGTTGACTATGCGCTGTGTGAAGAAGAACTTTCTTTTATTAGTTTTAAACCTGCTACCCATTAATTTCATTCTGTCAACGGAGCCATGTAAAGTAGTTTACCCGGCATAGTCAAAGAAGCGGGAATTTAAATAATCCCTGTTTCATTAAAATAAGAATGGCCGCCGCGCTGTGCCGACAATCAGCTGATCTGACACAGCTCTGTAGTCTAGACGCAGCGCGGTCAACAAGAGAAGCCTTTGTCAACCGCTCCGGTAAACCTCGTTTCATGATGCTGATCTTGCAGAAAAGGGGGGTTTTGCATAAAAAGGAAACGTCCACATTGCTTGCTTTTGTGCAAAAACCCCTAGCGCAAAAACGGATCAGCAGAAAATATGCAAATGAGATCACAACTCATGCAAATGAGTCCATCGTTAGCATATATTTTGCTGAGAAAACTCATAATGTAGACATAGCCTTAGAGAAACAGAATGAGTTAACACTTACCAGTAGTTGTGTACCAGGGCCATGGTGGGTCATATGTTGTTGCATGTGCTGGAAGATAAGAAGTAAAATTAGAGATTATGGTGAATTTTCACAGGTGGTCAAAAGGTATCCCCCTTCGCCAAGTTCCAGATTCCCTGCATCCAATCATGGAGGCATGTGGGCTGCTCTGTGAACAATTTTTGATGTGGGCAAAATAAGTGATGATGTTTTTGAAAACAGATGAACTTATGTATTGGAAACTTCCCAAAATACATGAATCTGTGGCAAATATTCAGCATGGGTTTGAGCCTAAATGGTGACAAAGTTATAAGAAGCTGAAAACTGGATCTTATCATAAACAGTTTTAGGCAACCTCAACTAAAATGACACTGACAGTTCTGTCTTTAATACATTTCAGTAGAGATCATATACATGTTAATTTCAGCATATTCAAATGTATGTGATGATGGATAATATGTAAATGATGTTACCCATTGACATAAATGTTGTATACCCAGAAGCTTCTAGGATGACACATGAGAAATGTTAGCATCAGTTAATAGTGTCTTATAACTAGAACTGGTTAAAAAAATAGGCCAAAACTTTTTCCTGAAAAAAATGTAGATTCAGCAATATCAAGCCATTTTGTAATTTGTTTAGCACTGAAATTGTAAATTTAGAAGCAATGTACAATGCTATTGGTCACCTAAAGGTGACCTGAAGTTATTTTTCTTGCAGTCAATCTATGTCTTTCATCAGTAACAAGACTTAACACTAGGGCTACGTCTACACTGGCACCCTTTTCCGGAAATGCTTAAAACGGAACAGTTTTCCGTTATAAGTATTTCCGGAAAAAGCGCATCTACATTGGCAGGATGCTTTTCCAGAAAAGCACTTTTTCCAGAAAAGTGTCCGTGCCAATGATGACGCACTTTTCTGCAAAAAAGCCCCGATCGCCATTTTCGCAATCGGGGCTTTTTTGCGGAAAATAAATCTGTGCTGTCTACACTGACCCTTTTCCGGAACAGTTTTCCAGAAAAGGACTTTTGCCCAAACGGGAGCAGCATAGTTTTTCCGGAAAAGCACTGATGATTTTACAGTAGATCGTCAGTGCTTTTCCGGAAATTCAAGGGGCCAGTGTAGACAGCTGGCAAGTTATTCCGGAAAAGCGGCTGATTTTCCGGAATAAGTGGCCAGTGTAGACATAGCCTAGGAGTGGGTGAAAGAAGGAGTTTTAAGTTCTCTGGCAATTTAAAAAAAATAATTAAAAAATCCATTTGGGTTGACCTGAAACTGAAAGTGCCAAAAAAAATCAAAATGATGAAAACATTATTTTAGGTCAAATGAAGTGATTTTGGGAGCATTTTAAAATAAAAGCAGAGAAAATAAAAGATTAGATTCACAAAACAATAGGAGGAAGTGGTAGCTGCTCCCTAAGGGTACATCTGCACTAGCCCCCTAGTTCGAAGTAGGGAGGCTAATGAGGGTGACTGAAATTGCTAACGAAGCACGGGATTTAAATATCCTGCGCTTAATTAGCATAATCCTGTCCGGTCGCCATTTTGGAAATTGACTAGCCCGAAGTAACTGCCCGCATCTAAGATAATCCTCATGGAATGAGGTTTGACAGTTAATTTGAACTAAGGGGTTTATCTCGGAATCCCACTTCTCTGCCACGTGTAGACGCGGGCAGTTACTTCGGGCTAGTCAGTTTCCAAAATGGCGACCGGACTGGATTATGCTAATCAAGCGTGGGATAGTTAAATCCCGTGCTTCATTAGCAATTTTAGTAACCCTCATCGCCTCGCTAGTTTGAACTAGGGGGCTATTGTAGACATACCCATATACCCTTAAGCTCAATGGCTTGGACACTTACTTTGGATGTGGGCAGGGCCGGCTCTAGGCACCAGCAAAGGAAGCATGTGCTTGGGATGGCACATTTTCAGGGGCCTCATTCTGGCCCACAGGAGGAGCAGGTGAGGAGCCCCATGGAGGCTGCCCCGAGCTGGGAGCCCCGCGCCTGGCTTCTTGGAGCCTGTGCCTGGCCCCGGGGCACTGGGAGCTCTGCGCGGGCAACCCTGAGGCACGGCCCCTGCTGGGGCACTTCCTGGAGGGTAGGCTAGGGCCCCGGCTGGCCACCCCATCCCGTGTGCCCCCCCGCAACTCCCGCTCACTCGCCTCCCACCCATGGGCCCCCCAGCCAGCCATCCCCTCCCTGTGTTCTCTCCCTCACAACTCCCCTGCCCGTGAAACCCCCTTGCCCGGCTGTCCCCACCCCTTGTGCCCCTGCCCTCTGTCCCACGACCTCCCCATTATCTCCCCCCTTTCATCTTCTCCCCCAGCTCAGTCTCTGCCCAGCAACCCTGCGCCCCACCTCCTGGCCCACTGCAACCCTTCTGGGACCTCATCTCGACTTCTACTCCCCACCCACCCTGCCTTCCTGCTGCTCACTTGGATCTCCATCTCCTGTCTGGCTCTTTAAACAATCCCTCCTTCCCCTGCTCTTGGGGCCCTGAACCTTCCCCCCTCATATGCACACGCCTGCCCAGGATCCTGCCCAGAAACCCAGCCACCTTGTGTTGTGTCCTGATAACCTCACACCTGCCTGGGACCCACATCATTCTCCCTCCCCCTTTGTCTGAGGAAGGGGAACTCTGGTGTTCCCAGTGCCCATCTCCCCAAGTCCCTTCCTGTCTGGGGCAGGAGAGCTTTATTAAAATTGGAACTGTGATCCCATTTAAATAGGCTTTGTTTTAAATAATATACCTTTAAAATTAAATTAAAAATGGTTATGGCCTACATTTATCATGACCTATTTAAATAACTTATGAATTAAATTTAAAAATTAAATAGAACATGTGTCCCATCAACTTTTAAAGACATTCTGCTGGTTCATTAGTGTAAGCTGCTGTGTAAACACCCGGAACCAGTGTTTACATCAGCAGTAGCTTCTTCTGCAGGTGAAGAGAGAATGTTTTATCAGTTTGGTTTATTCAGCTAGTTCAATTCAATGATTAGTTCATTCACCATTGCAAAACTGAGAATTGACGAAGCAGAAAAACTTGTTTTGCTCTTCTCAGTAAAAAAACAGGTTATGAGAGCGTTCTAACATGTTGAAGAACATGATGACTAGAATCGATCTGTTAAATTTTAATAAATGAATTTTAGATGCAAAATGTGTTGGATACTTTTTTGTTATGTGTCCTTCACATTTAAGGTAGTTTTATTTCAAACAAAAATTAAAAGCTGGTTTTGTTTTAAAATGAAATTCCATCCAGACAGAAGTAGGTGCAAATCATATGTTTTTAAAAAAGTAGCCACCACTTAGCAAATAATAAATGGGGTAAAACCTGTCTCCTAAGTGTTCCTATTATACACCATTTTGTAATAGAATAAAAATGTAAAAATTAAGAATCTGATTACATGTAAGTTACACAATTATTTGGGCATTTATTTAGTTGGTATCTGAACTGAGTGTATTTTCTTGGTTAGTAAATAGAAGCACCAAATTTGGCATAAAGGTTATATTTAGTTATAAATCAACATGTTTTAAAGGTTGCTAATCAATAAGACTCAACCATACTTTAGAAAAATATTTTAAAAGTATAATTTAAATGATTAATTGCTCATTTAAATCAAGGTTTTCTGCTTGCTGGTTTAAATCATGATTAAAATTAGAGATTTAAATCGAAGCTATTTAAATCAATCCACCCTGCTTCAGAGGCTGTTTGGACCATCCCTGAAGGAAAAAACACAGGGCTGTGCTCATGGAATAGGTCCTAGGCTAGTGGGGTTTTGTTATCTGGTGCCTGTCTTGCTCTGGACAGTTGAGCTGGGGAGTTGAAACAAAAGTTCTCTTAATCCCTTTGAACTGTCTCATTGTATAGTGAGGCTGATTTTTGTCCATGGACACCAAGAGTTGGGGTGTGTGTAATATTTCATCTACCCTGTGTACACTATGATAACTTTAGGCATATCTGCTTGTACAATTAAAATATATTTAATGAAATATAAACTGGGTGATTCATTGTGCAGCTGGAGTATTATATCTGAAGCACTTTAAATATACATTTTAGCAAGGGAAACCACATTCCTCCTTCATTCACACCATGAACACAAAGATTTGGCAACTTTAAATCAGTAACTTACAACATATTGATTGAATTGATTGTAATTGTAATACAAGCCCTTAACACAAAACCCTACATCATGGGAGCAAGGTTAAATTAATCATACTAAGCAGCACATTTAAATGGTTCAAATAATAGTTACGGTCAACTAGCATCCTTGGCTCATATTTTTCAATAGAACAAAGCTGTGCCATCCAACGTGGCCCTATACTGACACTACCTTTAATCTTTGCACAAAACTCCCATTGCCATGACTGGAAGTTCTAGATGTGGACCCAGTGAAAACAAGCAGAACTTGTCGTTACATTTTTGTAAGGATGGCTTTGCGAGGACTATAGTCTTTTTTTTTTTTTTACCTGGAGTTGTCTGCAGAATTGCAGAAATTAACAGACACAGCCAAGTGAAGAACATTGTGGTACTCATCTCGTCAGGATTCCTGACAAAAGCTGCACCAGAATTTATAGGGTCTCACTATGGGATTATGGATGGGTGAGGCTCAATATTCTGTTTTGCCTCAACATTAAGTCAACAGAAAGTGTTTTCATTTTAGCCTCAAAGGGAGGTGTGTTTCATTTGTTCTCAGTTTTATTTTATTTTATAAGTTCCTGGTTTCTTCAGAAAGATATTTGAACAATAGCACATCTCACTTTTTCTAGAACTTTTGGCATAAATTGCCTCACATGCTTTTTACTCACGTTACCATTCACAATTCTAGGATGATCTGGGTGCTTTATTCTTCCTGGTTACTGCCTGGTGGCCTGAAAGGGTTGAGGCTGCATATGGTGATGAGGTGGGCTTGCGCAGGCCCTTCAGATTTACCTTCCTTCAAGAAGGAATGGCATTTGAAGAGCCAGTTGTCTCCAATTCATAGTTAAGAAACGTGACTGAGTCACGGCATCATAAATAAATTACTGTCAAGTATTAGTAGAATATTTTATTAACATCTTGCCATTATGATGTTTCAAGGCTCACTCAAGCCAGTTTTGGGTTCTATCACTTTCTACCTTGTAATGCTGGGTGTCTTGTGGCTGTGTGGCTTTGGTTCATGGTTTTGACCCAATGCACTAACTGGCTTTGCCCAACTTGATTACTCCATGCAGGCTGTACTTATTGCCCTGAATTGATCCCCAAACTCATCCTACTGCTTCTCTCTTGCAGATCCCTCAGAGAAAGAATTAAGTTCATTGCCCCTACACAGACAATAAAAGATTCCAACTGATTAGATTTCTAGAAGCACACTTTACTTATCTTACACTGTCCTGCTGATAGCAAAAGCTTGTGAGCAGATGGACATGGATAAGTGATATCAAGTAAAAGGGATGAAATTAGAAATGATGTCAAGCAAATAAAAGTGATAATATGCTTTCAAAAAACTAAGGCTACGTCTATACTGTGCAGCTTACAACTAAAGACTTGCTGCTGTAAGGCATGCAGTGTAGCCTCTTTGTTGGCAGGAGAGAGCTCTCATGCTGACAAAATAAAACTACCCCAATGAGGGGCAGTAGCTTTGTTGGTGTGGTAGCATCTGCCATGGACAAAGAACCGCTCGCACAGTGGCTTGTCATCCATAAAACTTTTGTCAGCTGTGGTATGTTTTTTTCATATCTCTGAATGACCAAAATTTTACCGACAAAAGTGCAGTGTAGACATAGACTAAAACTTAGTCTGCTCAGATATAGTTTTTGTTCAAGATGGTTTCTCTGACCCAGGAAAGGAGCATAATAGCACTGTTGCAATGGAATGGGGAAATGGAAAAAGGAAAAAAGAAAAAGGTCAGAGATATAGTATGAAATCTTGAAAGCAAAGCACAAGCAGTATAACTGATAAGTTCTGTAATAAAGAACAGCCGAGGGCCTAGGCTATGCGTCACTCATTAAGTAAATAGGATGCTGGTTCTTCTGTGTTCAAATAACTGCATTTGCTGGTGAATGAGGACACTTAAGCAGGAACAAATGTATTTGGTATTCACCACTCATAATTTTCCAACTTCAGGCATCTTGGTAGAAAACAGAATCACACACAAAGTAATGAAGCAAAAACAATGCAGAAGATGTCATTTCCTCTATTAAAACTATTATGAATAGCAAATAAATTAATAAAAAATCCATTCATAAACGTCTCAGGGGGTAGCCATGTTAATCTGTAACTTTAGAAACAATGAGTAGTCCTGTGGCACCTAAGGGTATATTTACACTACAGGACAAAACCAAATTAAGATACATAACTTCAGCTATGTTAATTATGTAGCTGAGGTCACTGAAGCTTAACTTGGCTTTTGGCGCTGTCTACACTGCAGGAAGTTGAAGGGAGAGCACTCTTCCTTTGACTTCCCTTATTCCTCATGAAAACAGGGTTACCGCCATCGACCGGAGTACCCCTTTCACTTCGAATTATCTGTCTTAACTAGATTGGATAAATGAATCAGCCTTCTGAAGAGCCCCGTGTGTTTTGCTACTCTTGCTGAACACTGTCTGAAAGCCTCACAGAAATATATAGGATCACGAGCTTTTGTGGGTGAAACCCACTCCATCAGATGATGAACTTGAGTGGAAATAACAGAAAACAAGTTATATATAACAGAAAAAAAAGGTACCTGTCAATGATAGGATTGGTGCTAATGGGTATGTCTACACTACAATGTTAGTTCGAACTAACGGACGTTAGTTCGAACTAACATTCATAGGCGCTACACTAGCGCTCCGCTAGTTCGAATTTAAATCAAACTAGCGGAGCGCTTACTTCGAACTAGGAAAACCTCATTTTATGAGGATTAAGCCTAGTTCGAACTTACTAGTTCGAATTAAGGGGTGTGTAGCCCCTTAATTCGAACTAGTGGGAGGCTAGTCCTCCCCAGGTTTCCCTGGTGGCCACTCTGGCCAACACCAGGGAAACTCTATGCCCCCCTCCGGCCCCGGACCCGGACCCCTTAAAGGGGCACG